CCCGCCCTTCTCCTCTGACTCCTCAGGCAGCCTGGGCAGGCCGGGTTTCCATGGCTGGGGCGAAATACGGTTCTACGCACGCTCCTGTCTCCCTGCTGCATGGGAGAGCTCTGGGGATGCTGCCAAGCTGGGAAGAGACACGGTTGTTGCAGATGCGTGCCCTCCTGCTGAGTGAAAGCAGGGTGTTAAAGATGTTAAACACTCCAGTCCTGGAGGGCCATTGTCTGGAGCAGGCATTTGGCAGTTGTTCCGATTGGGGAATTATTATTCAATATTCAGCAATATTTCTACTTTATCTATTAGGTTTCTTACTGGTTTTAGGCCTAATCAACTTAAAAACCATCTATGACAGAGGAGGTGCGAACTCCTCCGCATTTGACTGGGAGATAAACTGAGACTCAAGAAAAAAACTTAGGAGGTAAATCTATGGCAGAAATGGGAGTTGAACTTGCTGCTTCTGGTTTGTCTGCTGCTGCGCAAACCTTTAGGCACACAGAATGAGAGGGGCTTTTGTAACCACCTTAGGGTCTTCAGGGTAGAACGTTATGTGTAGTCCTGGTTATGGAAAGCACAGAAGTACAGACTGAAATCCCCCTAAGTCCATGGGACTTGAGTATGTCTCTGGAAAGCTTTCCTGAAAAAGCATAGGTCTCCGCCTGTGCTTAAGTGCTTGTTATCTTTTAAGATCTATAAGCGTGATTCTGCTCATCAATAGCACATTAAAATTGTAGTATGTTCCTGAGAGAGTGTATTTGAGATTGCACAGCTAGAGGGCAGAAAAAATCAAGAAGAACCACAGATGTCCATACAAAATACCAAGACTGAGTTTGGTCTGAAAGGCCAGAAGGAAAGAGAAGTCTCAGGCTTCCTCAGTGAAAGTTAAGGAGGAGTTATTTCTTTGCAAATGGGAGGGTGGGGGGCTAAGAGAGAAAAATGAGGGAAGAGAAAGAAGTTAACTCTTCTTCTCGCCTCTGGTTTGGGGGAAATGTTGGTTTGTTCCAGTTGTACCTTACAGATGAAATTCAATCCTCTCAAAAGACAAAGAATTTATTGTGGGATTGCATGCCCACATGTCTTTGGCATTGGAAACCTGATGTTCCTTGCAAGGCACCTGTGCTCACAATGAAAATAGGTGCTTTGTTCCTTAAGAGACTGATACGACAGGGCTTTTTAGCCTGTTTCTCTGCACAAATAGAAAAAATACCATTTCTTCTCATAGTTGATTCTAAATGGGTGCTTGTTTGGTTCCAAACCGAAAGGTGTAGCAGTAACATGTTTCTACCTAGAATATTAAAGGGCTTGTGTCCTTCCTTGCTTGTAATCATATTTGAAAGATTCAAGTTTTTCCAATGGAATATTTGGGGGCTTTTTGGTTTGAAGGGGAAAGCCGCAATATGAGGTTTAATTCCCCCCGAAGAGTCCAGTGTTGCTGTGGATGAGCTGGAGAGTCTTGGGAAAGTTTCTGCCCTTCCCGTTACTAAGTGTATAAAAAGGCAGTGCCCACCAAGTGATTCTGCTGTGTTTCTAGATCCAATTAATTCCTGTTACCAGCTGCTTAATTTTTTGGGGGAAAAGTTCCTTTTTCTAAGGCTTTATTTCAGGTACTGAAAACAGGAGAGAGCGAAGATATCATTTGCTTTTTCAGGTTCATCTTTTGAAGGAAGGCATTTCATAGGTACTCTTGTTAAACAGAGTACTGGACCCTTTTCCCCACCTTTCTTGGTCCCCGAAAAGGTCCTTCTGAGAGGCTGGGATAAAATATGTGTTAGAACATAGTGTGAGCTGGGGACAGGAGATGTGGAGGTTTTGTTTGTGGGCTTAGTTTCTGTGTGTGTGTGTCTCTAAGTGCAGATCACTGGACTCCAGAACAAAGCTCTCCTGATGGGAAACCGTTCTCAGTAATGGCTCTTAATGCTCTGAACCACTGGGGAGGAGCTTCTCCTTTAGGTCTCTATCTCTAGTTCTCTCCAAAGCAGAAAATAAAGTGTAGACAAAAAGTTGCTTTATTAAAAAAATTAATTAAATCTGGTGATGATGTAACTGTAGTCTCTATACATCTGCAGATTGAGACTTAATACTGTTGTTAGTACTGGGCTGACTTACCTTCTCTAAGCACTTTGTTTTTGTATACATAACCTAAATTTGTACTGAAAACTTAATACTTACTAGTTTACTGTGTTATAGGAGCATGTCTGTCTTTTCAGACTAACAACAAAGTCAGAAATGTGGGCTTTGGACGAGGAAGAAGGGAGGATGTCTTTAGTTTGGGATAGCTGGCTGATGGGAGGAAAGGTGACCAAATGAAAATAACTAATCTCACTTATTTTGTGGAGACATTTAATCTTCTAAATTCACAAGTGAGTTGCGGTTAAATGTTGCAGATCAGGCCCATATCACTGTAATGCGTTTTTTCCCCGTTCCTGGCAGGATGCTCTTGTATTTCGTTGTTGGCAGTAAAGGTGGAAAAGACTCTACAACTGTTTCTTCCCATCTAACTCTACAAAGGCAGAAATCTTTATTCCTCACCTTGCATCTCTATATAGGTACTAAAATACTAAAGTAAGAGGGAATGGTTCTACGTACATTTGAGACTTCATCACCCTAGTATTAGAGCCCTCCAGTCATTGATGTGTCTTAATTGGAGTAACTGGAGCAGTATTGTCTCCCTTCTGGACACGGGGGATGGAAGCACGACATGTGAGGTGGTTTGCTCCCCAGCCACACAGTAAGGCTTCCCAGAGCTGCAGGGAGACAGATTCTGACCCTGCTCCCAGTCCCATTTTGATGGCTTTGTCATTGCTTTTGCAATTAAGTGTTTGCACCTCTCTGCGTATGAGTAGAGGTTAAGCTAGGAGTCATAGAATGAAATTGAGGGAAAAGAAGCTAAATATGGGCATGGGAGGGAGAGAGGAAGACTTCCCCAGTGTGAATTCTGTCCTTCTCTGTGAGCAGAGAGTTTCCTGAAGGCTTTACTCAAAAGTTCACATCAGCTGAGAAGCATTCCGCTGCATGGAACAGAATATCAGGTAACCTACTGTGAAGAATAATACCACATTTGAGGGACCCTTTAGGGATGCACAAAGTGGACTCTGATAGGTTTCTTTTATCTTTAAATTTGGAAATGGGGTGTTTCACGCTGTGATTTCAAAATGTGAGTCTGCATGCGGTTGTACAGCACTGTGCTACAGTAAAGAAGTTAGAATTGCTGTGGTAATGGTGATTCTTCTGACTTTTGGTGGTCCTTTACATAACCACCTAATTTTTTTTTGTAATTTATGGTGTGAGACAGTGAGTGACAGGATATCTCATTCGTACTGCTGTGTAAATAGCTTTGTCTGTAGTGTCTGTAGAGACTTATGGTAGGTACCAGGGGAATTTCCCCTTTGTAAACTGTTTATAAAGTTTAGATCCAGATAATGCAGTCATTGGCTGGGAAGCTTTTTTCTCCTCTACTTTTGTGATTGGAATGGTTGTTTTCTAAATATATTGAGGACCTGCTGGTTACTCTGGGATGTAGGTCTGGGATAGCCATTTCCAGCTTGTTTCTAGGAATATCTGAAATCTCACTGTCTTCCTGTATAATTTTGATTTGTTGAAATTACTTTAGCCTAAGTCCTTGGTTAACTGAAGAACTAAAATCTTTCAGTCCTTTTGAGTTGTACTCTGTCTATTAGGCCTTTCAGACTGGTCCAAAGCAATCAACATTTAAGTTGCATCATATCTGCTTTTAAAGCTGTTTGCCTTGTGTGGCAAGCCATTTCTTACCATGGGGGTCATTCTGATAATTAGAGATTGGGGTCTCATTGTGCTGGGTATACATTAACACCACGAGTTCCAGCCAGCAGGCTCTGAAACCTGCCCTTAGCCTTTGGAGAACAGAAAGCGGTGATTTTTAGGGACACTTAGGCTGGCTTCTATGCTTCCAAACCCTTGCCTGCTTAGGTGTTCTCTGAGGAATCCAGACTGTCCTATGAACTGTTAAAAAACCTGAAGGCCAGGTGGATTAGAAGATCTCTTCTGGCAAATGTTAGCATTTCTTCTTTGAAATGCTCACTCTGAGATTTTTAGCAAATTTTAATTGTTCTGTGATGCTAGACCGTAATTCTGTTTCAGATGGAACTTGTGTTAATTCTCTCCTGAAGGACTGGACATCTGTGTTGATCATGCAGACTTGACCAGTAGCAAGTGAAATCAATGCAATTTTGACTCTTCTCTCCATTTTATTAGCCTTAGAGAAACATTCATAATTGGATTAGGTTTAAATTTTATTGCCTGTTACCGTGCTCATGTGGATCTTGTTTATGGGGCAGCATAATATCCGATTCCTCTTTGTGATGTAGAAAAGGCATTGAAACTTCATAGTAGAGTGGAATAAGTTGAAGCAGGAGATGCTAATTGAACTCTTGCACGTACATAAAGAGTGTACAGGTGATACTATTGTTATTTTTGTACCTAGAGAGAGCCGGTTTGAAACCTTTGTGGTCAGTGCTCTTTTTTTGTGTGCAACCAGGCTAATGTGAACAGATTGTATGGACCGATTTGGAAGGCAGGTGTTCAGATCACAAAACCACTACTGTAATTGCCATGGTGAGCTGTGCCATTCTCAAACGAAAAGGTCAAAAGTAAATGGACACAAACTGACTTTTATCTGTATGAGTGGTTCTTGGAGGTCATTTTTTGGCATGCTAATGGTTTAGTACGGGGAAAGTTGCTCATTGATGACAGATAATCGATTTTACCTTCTTTCTCATAGAAACAAACCTATGCTTTCGCAATATCTAGCATGAAATTTTCAGTCGCCCCAGTTTGCTTTCCAGTTTTGAATGTCTGAAACCCCTTGGTTACAGGTCTAGGAACCACCTTTTCACAACTGTACTTCCTTGCTGTAGCATTTTGCTTTTTCATACATTTGATATCTTTGTCATCTCGATCTCTCTTCAGACTTAAAATTATAGTACGTATTGGCTAAATGCACATTTTTCCTTATTTTTCCACAGGAAGTAAGAATCTAGTTATCGTTCTGGCTTGCCCGTTAATACCTCAATTCAAGTGATATGGTTGGCTTCACTTCTCAGACTTGGATATGACAAGGTCTATCTCCCAAGTGAAAATACATCTCCTGAAGGGGGATTTGTGGGTGGAGAGGAGACCAGCTATTTCTTGCACAGCTCTGACTGCTTGTTCAGATGGCCGTCACCTGCACACAGGCATTCACAGACTTATATTTCAGATGCAAAATACATGAAACTTCTGACTTAAGAACACATTCCTGAGTCACTTAAGCGTGTTCTTTATATAGTATGTAATTTGTTTTGGAGTTAGAAGTGTGTCTTCCCATTACCCACTCTGAAGATTGTATTCTAGAACAGCTGCATTTGGGGTTTTGCTTTACTTTATGAAGCTTCAAAAAGAAATGTACCAATGATAAGTGGTTTTCAACATGCACAATGGAAAGGGGAGTGGGCTATTTCAAGAGATTAAAGAAATTCTCTTCCTTTTTTTTCCCCTTTGCCACAGATGCCCGAGATGTAGAGCAATTGAGTAAGAATAACATTACGCACATTCTTTCAATCCATGACAGTGCCCGCCCTATGCTGGAGGTAAGAGCTGTGGGGGACTCCATGGTAAATGCTTACTTTGCAGTTGACTGTTACAGTCATCTTGGGGTTAATTTCTTGTTCGGTACAATTGGCGTTTTGAGACTGATTTTCTTGTGGAAATGTTTGACAGCTGTAGTTTTGGGATCCAGTCACATATTTTGTTTTTCCTGCTGTTATAACAACAAGAAATATAACTGACAAAGGAAGAGACAATTACAGTGTCAATCGATACAACACAATGGTGGGATTGTGTTATTAATTTAATAGTAAAGGTAAGTTTCCTTCTGTGTGGAGTTCAAGCATCCCATAAACAACAACATTCCTTTTCCACCTTCCCTGCTTTGTACTTGGGCCCATTTCTTGAATCTTTATAGCAGATGGTTGTGTAAGAGGTTTGGAGTCCTTTTCCGTGTAAAATAGGCTTGGGGTGTGGGAGGAACCAGCACTCCCTCATGTAATACATGTAATACAGCAGAGCATCTATAGGTCTCCAACACTTTAACAGGAAGTATTATTCCCCTTTTTACTGAAGGGAAGTTGATCTGAAAAGCTGAAATGACTTGCTATGTCATCTTGAGCAGTGAAAGCACTGGGACCAGGCTGCAGGTCTCCTGTGTTGGACTGTTGTGCTTTCTTCTTTACTCCAGCTTACCTTGGAAGGAGAGGAGTTTGGCCGGGCTTTGCTACACCTTAAAATCCTGCAATTTAATTTATTTTGGGCACTGTTGTCTCTGTAAATTTGTTTGTTCCTTCCCTGCATTCCACTTTTCATGAAATATGACAAAATAGTGGGTAAGGCAGTTGCTGGTTTTACCCCTCAGATACTGCTGGGAATCTCTGCTTTTCATTCTCTCAATGTAAAAAGTGTCTAGTGAATTCAGTCCTTAAACTACAGAATTTCCACACCTTCGAGGCAAGTCAATAGGTAAGCTGAACAAAAGGTGTCCCTAGAATGTCATGTTAAAACCAATATCAAGTTAATGGTGCATTCAGAGTTGACCTTGTGCTTAGAAGTGTGCTGACGCAGAGCTTTAGCTGTTGACTTTATACTGTCCATTTGACTTCTGTTGTACGTGATGCTTGTTAAGTCTGAAACATACTGAATTTCAAGAGTGCTCTTAGTTGAAGAGAGAAACAGTTGTACTGAGTAAGGGAGATGTACTGTTTCCTCAAGGATGCTGTTCTCTAAAATGAAGAGAAGCTTGCTTTGTTTTATTATCGTGATTAGAAAAGTAGGAAGACTAATTGTGGCACAGATCAGCTGCAGCCTCAGGCCAGTGTTTCTTGTGGTGGTAGTTTTGGCAGCCCACACGCCGCCACCTCACTTGTGGTGGTGCATCTGTTTGTGAGGCTGCATGGTGAATAGATCTGGGAGCTTTTGTGGGTTAAATATAACCAAGTCACCATTTCTTCCTCTAGCTACCCCCACAAAAGACACGAAGGATTATATTTACCCAGGTCTGTTCCCAATTTGGTTCACAGTAGTGTCTCAAAAGTTACAGTGGCATGGGAACAAGTAGTGACTGGTTAAGCATGGACTTGCTTTAGTCGCCCCTGCTTCTGAAAGAAGTGTTTCTCTAACTGTGCTTTCTCTTTTCTCAGCATGCAATACGCACCTTTATGTGCTGGTGGTCTGGAAAACAACTGTTAAAACTTCTCCCCAAGTTCATAAAGTAATAGAAGGATTGCGTGTTCCATTTGTTTGGGAGCTGAGCTGATTAATTACTTTATAATTCGTGGTCTTACTGTGGTGTTTGTTTGCAACTAAATGCTTCTGTTTAGGAACAAGGGCCTCGAAAACATCTGTCAGGTTGTGTTACTTCCTTTGTTATTTACATCTTTGCCAGGTTGTAGGTAGGTTTGTTTACAGCTTGTGTAGCCACATTGTACTTGAGGCTTGTTCTCAAGTCCGCTGAAGTCAAATGGGAACGCTTTCCCTATGTGTCTCCCTCTTCCCCGTTTCCCCCAGATCTCACTCATGGAAAGTGAGGGCTTACATTTGTGTTCAGAAATTCATCTGATGTTATTTGGACCTGTAAACATGGAACTGCAGTGATAAGAGAATTTTTTTTTCCCCTCTGAGATTCCATGTTTTGTGTGTGTATTTATGTGAACGCTGATCATCTGTAAAAAGCTGCCTTTTCTTGGACTGCAGTAGTTGGATTTGTCTTTTGCTAACAATATTTTATCTCAAGTGTTTCCTAGTCAACCTATACGAAATGCTACAAATATTTCATTGAACAAAACTTTCTGTGCAGGCTATGGAAGGTAAGTGGTTTTAGACATTGAAAACTGAGTAGTGTGGCAGTAACCTGTTATCAAAGAGAACTTGGCCTTTTTTTTGGCTGGCTGTGGAACAGACGAATGTGGATGCATGCATTAGCTCTCAAAGGGGTCACAAATTGCCCCCGTCTTGCTTGTCGGATTTTGAAGTTTCAGTAATGACTGTTGATGTAATGACTAATGCAGTAATACTTCTGATACAGCACTTAAAACTGATAATGGTGAGTAGAGAATGAAAATGTCCAGTCTGGCTTCATTGTCCATACTCAATAATGCAATACTCAAGAAATAAAAGCAAATGTCAGTGTATGTGGTGAAAACCAACTTGCTACAGACTGTAAAATTATTTTCCACTGTAGTGTAACTTATGGCATTGCCCCTCCCTGATGTTACAGACTACTTGATTGTTTAAGATACTCACAATACCTTTTAAAAAACGTGCTTTCCTCTGTGCTTTATATACTGCGGTATTTGGATATATGTTGCTGTAGTTCCTCATAAGTTGGTAACCTATTAGAAAATGATTGAAGAGTTTCACAAGGGAGTATTATATTGGTTTAGGTTATATAGTGTGTACCTGTTGAGAAATAACGTAAAAAAAAGTTTTCTTACTGAAATTTGATTTCGGAGATTATCTCAATGATCATTTACAAACCTTCATGGATGTCTGATTTATAGGTGGATCATAATCAAAGTTTGACCGTAGGAAGTTATTGTGTACTTTCAAGCTGGAATAATGGGAAAAAGTAGGTTTAAAAGTCAATTGGATTCTAAGGCTTTTTATACCTTTAGACATTGGCAGCCTGCATTAGGTACAAGACACAGAATTCTTTTGTAAGGCTTTGAGTGATTTAGACTGGAAGGAATTTGCCAAAATTTGGCCTGAATTATCTTGCAATATTGCCCCTTAGTTCTTCTTGTATAAACTGTTTGAAGGAAAGTTGTCTTCTAATAAAACCAGTCCTGAAATTAAGACCATACTAAGGCTATTGTTCCAATAAAGTACACCATTGTTACCCAGGATCTTAACCACTTAAGTAAGTATTTTGTAGTTTAAAGATGCAGGTTTATAACTCCATCATTAAAAAAAACCCCCACAGGTAACTGGTGGCATGTCCAGAAGAAAGGACTGCATGCCGTATGGAACAAGGTTTGGTATTTCAGATGCACAGAAGTCACCCCCCTGAGTAGCAAAGGTGTCCAACAGCGTCATGTGTGTTCCCACAGAGACACAGACACAATAGCCTTGGTGAATCAAGTTGGATTCTCCAGAGCACTTTGGATGGCTGCCCATGGAGCACTCACAGATGTTTTATAAATCCACACAAAAGCCATATACAGAGGAGAATAATTAGGTTTCTTGCCACCTGCTTTCTGATCTGTTTCTCAGCTAGTTTAGGTTTTAAAATCTCTATTCAGAATGTGAGACACACTGAAAGGCGGATGGGGAAGCGTATCTCAGTGTGCTTTAAATAATAGTGTGTCTGGCAGTGACCTGTTGTCATCTATCTGTACTTCTGTAAGGCCTTTGACACAGGCCCCCGTGACAACCCTCTCTCCAAATTGGGGAGAGATGGCTTGGATGGATGGACTGCCCAGTGCATGAGGAATTGTTTGGATGGTTGCATCCAGAGGGTAGTGGTCAATGGCTCCATGTCCAGATGGAGATCAGTGACGAGTGGTGTCCCTCAGGGGTCTGTGTTGGGACCAGTACTGTTTAATAACTTCATCAATGACATGGCCAGTGGGATTTGATGCATCCTTGGCAAGTTTACAGATGACACCAAGCTGAATGGTGCGGTTGACACGCCTGAGGGACAGGGTGCTGTTCAGAGGGACCTGGACAAACTTGAGAAGCAGGCCCATGTGAACTTCATGAAGTTCAACAAAACCAAGTGCAAGGTCCTGTATCTGGGTCGGGGCAACCCCCGGTATCAATACAGGCTGGGGGATGACAGGATTGAGAGTAGCCCTAGGGAGAAGGACTTGGGGGTACTGGTGGATGAAAAGCTGGACATGTGCACTCATAGCCCGGAAAGCCAGTTGTATCCTGGGCCACATCCAAAGCAGCGTGACCAGCAGGTTGAGGGAGGGGATTCTTGCCACCTACTTCACTCTGGTGAGATCCCCCCACATACTGCCTTCAGCTCTGGGGTCCTCAGCACAAGAAGAACATGGACCTGTTGGAGCGAGTCCAGAGGAGGCCACGAAGATGATCTGAGGGCTGGAGCACCTCTCCTGTGAAGACAGGCTGAGAGAGTTGGGGTTGTTCAACCTGGAGAAGAGAAGGCTCCAAGGAGACCTTAGAGCAGCCTTCCAGTACCTAAAGGGGGCTTATAAGAAAGATGGGGACAAACTGTTTAGTAGGGCCTGTAGCGATAGGCCAAGGGGTGGTGATTTTAAACTGAAAGAGGGTAGATTCAGACTAGATGTAAGAAAGAAATTTTTTATAATGAAGTTGCCCAGAGAGGTGGTAGATGCCCCGTTCCTGGAAACATTTAAGGTCAGGCTGGACAGGACTCTGAGCAACCCGATGTAGTTGAAGATGTTCCTGCTTATTGTAGGGAGGTTGAACTAGATGACTTTTAAAGGTCCCCTCTAACTGAAACTATTCTATGATCTCTTGGTAGAACTCTCTTTTTAAAGCTAGAGCACATAGCTGTTGGGGTCGGAGACGAAAAGGCCAAAGGTCTGACTGTTGTGATATCCGTATATCC